TATGTTTAACGTTGAATATTATTTATGATTTTTAACTTTATACACAAGTGCCAAAATACTATAATTAAGCATCAATAGTTTTTATTTTCTTCAAGTTAAGTAACAGATGCGAGTCAACATGTTTATTTTCTTAACCTGTGTTACGGTTTGAACTGCAAACAAGAGACATACTGGTGTACACACACACCTCAGGAAGCTGTTGTATGTAACAACTATTTTAATACAACTGAACATTACGTAATATCAAGTTAATTAACTATTCAGCCCCGAGTAGTTTTAAAACTTTTAAAGCACAGTAATAATGGATTTACTTCAGTGGAGCAGGAACTTATTTTTCTAGGGGAACCAAATTTCAACGAACGTGATATCCCTTACCCATGTATGGTATTGTTGCTAAGCTACTATTAACAATATTTTATTTTCTTGAAAATTCTGACGAATGAAAATTAAAAATGTCTAATGGTAATTCAAATCTTGTTTTAGCACCATAGAAACCATTTACTTGATGGTAAATGCTACTACCCCTACTACTTGCTCTTACCACAAATGGTAGGGGGGGGGGGGGTGCTCTCCCTGTTCTCGTGCAATTGTTTCACTATGAGTTTACTTTATCGTGAATTCATGGAAACGGAAAGGTTTAATTTCGTAATATTATGATATATATTTACAACTACAAAATATTTTTATTAGATGTTGTTTTGCTCTCTTCATCAACTTCTCATGCGGTTTTTACTGTGTTTAAAAACAACAACGTTACTGGCTCTTAAGTTTGTTTGTAGTTTACATCTGCCTTGATTATATGAATGGGCGGTGACGAGGCCTTGGCACAGAGACCTAAATGTTGTCTACTCCTACACTCCATATATATACATTTACACTCAACAAAAATACCGGATTCAATACAACCTACTCTGCTTAAAACTGTCAAAAACAACAATATTAACTGGAAGAACGTTCGAAAACAACAATATTAACTGGAAGAACGTTCGAAAACAACAATATTAACTGGAAGAACGTTCGAAAACAACAATATTAACTGGAAGAACGTTCAAAAAAA